CCGGCTGGCCTGGGGCCTGGGGCTGGCTAGAGTGTAGCTGCTGGTGGAGAGTGTGGACAGACTCGGGTCCAGTTCCATCTTTGCCACCTATTCACTGACCTTGGGCAGGCAACTCACCTTTTCTGAGGCCAGGTCATTTGTGCAATGCAGATAACAGGGTAGCTGAGGGTTCATTCAGTGACACTGTGTTAATGAAAAGTTTAGAGCAGACTGGATGTGGTGGCTCACTCCTGTACTCCCGCCACTTTGGGAGGCCAAGGTGGGACAGTCGCTTGAGGCCAGATGTTCAACACCAGACTGGGCAACATGGTGACGCCCGGTCTCTATTTTAAAAAAAAAAAAAAAAGCTTAGAACAGCACCAGCAGGTGGTCAGCACTCACACGCTGGAGCAGTTGCTGCTGCCTCGCTTATCATGACCTGTGTTGCTCTCTTCAGATCATCGGCCGTGGCAATGACCAGGTGGCCATCAGCTCCAAATTTGAGACCCGGGAGGATATTGGTATGCTGCCAGTGGGGCTGGTTTTTGTGGGTTCCAAGAGGGAGGTGTATCAGTCAGATGGGCTGAGTCACGCTGCTGTAACAAATATCCCTGGCCTTAGTTGCTTAGCCCAGAGCTTCCTTCTTGCCCGTGGGACACATCCACTGTGAGCTGGTAGGGGGCCTGCCCTGTGTCTCCTTACCTGGGAACCTCCACCGCTGGGTGCGTCAGAGGCAGCATGATGTGACAGGTGGGATCACAGTGGTCACAGTGAATTGTGCACTGGTTCCTAAGGGTGCTCCCCTGGAAGTGACACATGGCCTTTTTTTGAGACAGAGTCTTGCTCTGTTACCTAGGCTGGAGTGCAGTGGCATGATCTCGGCTCACTGCAACCTTTGCCTGCGGGTTCAAGCAGTTCTCGTGCCTCAGCCTCCCTAGTAGCTGGGATTATAGGCATCTTGCCACCACGCCAGGCTAATTTTTAGTAGAGATGGGGGTTTTGCCATGTTGGCCAGGCTGGTCTCAAACTCCTGACCTCAGATGATCCACCCACCTCGACCTCCCAAAGTGCTGGGATTACAGGCGTGAGCCGCCACGCCTGACCCCTGCTGCACTGATTTCATTGGCCATGGCAAATTACATAGCCAGGTGTGACTTCAGGAAGTGGCAAGGAGGGTCCTCAAACACGCCTGGGAAGAGGAGGAAGGGGATGTGTGTGAATAGCCTGACAGCCAGCCTCAGTGGGGTTTCCAGAAACTCCTAGTTTGAAGACAGAGAAGGGAGGAAGGACCTGAGCCAGGAGAGGGCCTAACCTCTGACCCCTCGCAGCTGTGATCCGGAACTACGGGAACCTCCTGCTGGAGATGTCTGCTGTGGTCCCTGATGGAATTGTGGCCTTCTTCACCAGCTACCAGTACATGGAGAGCACCGTGGCCTCCTGGTATGAGCAGGTATGCCTGGCCACCCCCTCCCTGCACTTGCTCTCCTCAGCCCCTGGCACTGCAGGAGGGGAGTCACCTGCTCTCCTCAGCTCCTGGCACTACACTGCTATGTCAGCTTCATTTTTCTTACCCTCTGATGGTGACAGGTGTCCTGTGTGACAGGAGAGTGCGTGCAGCATGTAGGAATGGGGTGTAAGCAGCCCATTGCCCCACCCCCAGTACATCAGGCTGAGAATGCAGACATAAGCCCCAATGTGGGCCCCTCCCTCAGAGGAGTACCCTGTGGTGGAGTCACCCCCACCTTCTAGGTTCCTTGCTCCCCCGCTGCTCTTTGGGGCTACCCCATCCCTGTGATCCTCCAGCACAGATGGCCTGGTGGGGAGGCCCAGGTAGCAGGTGTGACTCTATCTAGGTTAGAGGAAGGTTCTAGAGAATCAAGGCTGGACTGAGACTCAGGGCAAAGCCTCTCAAGGGTCTGCAGGAGCCCCTTCAAGGAAGCAGGCAGAGGAGGTCATGGGGCATTCTGGAAACAGGGCTCACCACAGCCAGGCCCTGGGTGGGAGGGGAGGCCACTCCTCACTTTGTGCCTCTGAGCACACCATGGCCAGGCTCTCAGGAGTGGGTGAAAGCACTTTGGGGTGAGGTGAGTGAACTTGGCTAATCCGAGTATTGGGATGGCGCTCATGGGAGGCAGGAACCTCATCCTCACAGCCAGGACCTTGGCCTTGTGCTTCAATAGGTGGCTTCCACACGGTGGAAAGGTGATCCAGTCCCCACAGCCCAGGTGCCTTTTGTGTCCTATTTAAGACAACTTTGTCTTAAATACCCCAAGGTCATGAAGAGAGGCTGCTGTGTTTCCTTCTAGGAGCTTGTGGTTTTAGCTTTCACATCTAGGTCTATGAGGTACCTCAAATTCATCTTTCTTTTTTTTTTTTGAGACAGAGTCTCGCTTAGTCGCCCAGGCTGGAGTGCAGTGGCGTGATCTCGGCTCACTGCAAGCTCCGCCTCCCGGGTTCACGCCATTCTCCTGCCTCAGCCTCCCGAGTAGCTGGGACTACAGGCGCCCGCCGCCTCGCCCGGCTAATTTTTTGCATTTTTAGTAGAGATGGGGTTTCACCGTGTTAGCCAGGATGGTCTCGATCTCCTGACCTCGTGATCCGCCTGCCTCGGCCTCCCAAAGTGCTGGGATTACAGGTGTGAGCCACCGCGCCCGGCCAAATTCATCTTTCTATATGGTGTAAGGTAGGGGGTCAAGGTTCATTTTTTGGTTCCATTTGGAAATCCACTTGCTCCAGTAAAAGCTGTCCCCACTGAACTGCACAGGTGGCTGTGTGTTTCTGGACTTTCCATTTTGTCCCACTGGTCTGTGTCCTTGCACTGGCTCCACACTGTCTGTATGGTAGTGTCATATGGGAAGTCTCAGGGCAGCCTCTGATTGACTCTGCCTGCCTCACAGTCAGCCCCTCCACCAGTTGCTGGCAGGGGATGGGGTGCCCTGATTGGCCACCCCCTTGGGCCACATGCCTGCCCCACTTATCCAGCAGTGATTGGTTCCCCACCCAGATCACTAAGTTCCCCCCAAAGAAGTAAGGTTGGACAATTCCACCCTCCCTCCCCACATCTCAGATGAGCCAGCTGAGGCCCAGAGAAATAGTGATGTAGGAGAGTTGGAGATAACCAGGATGGCCGTGCCCTGAACCCACCTTCTGCCACCCCCACCCTGACCTCCCTGGGTCCTTCCCCAGGGGATCCTTGAGAACATCCAGAGGAACAAGCTGCTCTTTATTGAGACCCAGGATGGTGCCGAAACCAGTGTCGCCCTGGAGAAGTACCAGGAGGTGGGTGTGTGAGGCCAGCGTGGAGGGGGTGGGGAGGTGGCTCCGAGGAGTGACCCAACTTGCATCTTGCCTCCCCACCTCAGGCCTGCGAGAACGGACGCGGGGCCATCCTGCTGTCAGTGGCCCGGGGCAAAGTGTCTGAGGGAATCGACTTCGGTGAGTGGACTCGCTCTTCCTCCCCAGGTGTCTTCCCAGAGCTCTCTGGAACACCTGCCCACTCTGCTGTCTGCTCCCGCGGGGGACCACCCACCCACAGCCTGGGTGCACAGAGGGACCCTCCCCTCCCCTCTGGCCCTAGGCACCCGGCGGGAGCACACCCTCTCTCTCCCACTCAGACATAGCATCCTGGGGCGCGTGAGGCTGTCCCTGTCCCACCAGCCACACTTGTAACTCCCCTTGACCCCTCTCCTCTGCCCACCAGTGCACCACTACGGGCGGGCCGTCATCATGTTTGGCGTCCCCTACGTCTACACACAGAGTCGCATTCTCAAGGTGAGTAGCTCTGGCTCCCAGAAGTCCCAAAGTGTTAGGGCCAGGGGAGGGATGGCTCCCCCACCTCCCCAACTCCTCATCCTTCGTTTCTGCAGGCACGGCTGGAATACCTGCGGGACCAGTTCCAGATTCGTGAGAATGACTTTCTCACCTTCGATGCCATGCGCCACGCGGCCCAGTGTGTGGGTCGGGCCATCCGGGGCAAGACGGACTACGGCCTCATGGTCTTCGCTGACAAGGTGCAGGTTCAGGGGTACCCCTGTGCTCGTACCCCAGCCTCCGAAAACCAGGCTATTTGCCCGTTCATCTCCCAGATGGGGTGTGTCACAGGGTGGAGGGTGGCCCAGGCTCCCTGACTCGGGTCCTGACGTTCTCTCCCTGGCCTGCGCTTCTGCCCACAGCGGTTTGCCCGTGGGGACAAGCGGGGGAAACTGCCCCGCTGGATCCAGGAGCACCTCACAGATGCCAACCTCAACCTGACTGTGGATGAGGGTGTCCAGGTGGCCAAGTACTTCCTGCGGCAGATGGCACAGCCCTTCCACCGGGTGAGGCCTGCATCCCCCTCCCAGCATCCTCCCAGGCTGAGCTCCTCCTCCAGAAAGGCCCCTTGGATTCTCCCCACTCCCCAACCCCAGCCTGTCCTCCTGCCCTCTACAGAGAGAAGTTTATTGTGCATCTGCATGCCAGGCTCTGAGGGGTAGGGGGAGATTCGAGGGGTCACAGATGCCAGCAGGTGGCCCAGGCAAGGCAGGGTGAGAGAATTCGGGGTGAGGAGGTATCAGGCATTGAGACTGTGCTGGCCTGGGGAAAGCCCGTCCTTCTCCGACTCCCTGGCTGGTTCCTCCCTCAGCCCCCTCTTATGTGGACAGGAATGGCCCACTCTGGATTATACTGACATCTCCAAATTCAAACATCCTGGCCCTCATGTCTTAGACCCCTAATGCCCATCGGGGGCGGGTGGTCGGGGAAGTACAGCAGCTGCCTGGGCCCCTTCCTGACAGTGCCCCCCTTACTTTCCTCTGTTCTCTGCAGGAGGATCAGCTGGGCCTGTCCTTGCTCAGCCTGGAGCAGCTGGAATCAGAGGAGACGCTGCAGAGGATAGAGCAGATTGCTCAAAGCTGCTGAGCAGGGTGGGCAGGACCATAAATGATTCCTAGTGACTCCTGAGTCTTGCCTGGCCCTGGGTCCCAGCAGCTCCGAGGCCGCAGCAGGGGTGGTGCTGGAAGGTCTTATGAACTCAGGTGACATTCCTCACTGTCACATCTATAGCTTTTAATCGCAGAAGAGGGCAGGGGGCATCTAAGAGATAGACGCCCCCCGTCCCCCACCAGCCCAGGCCTCCCACGCTGTTCCCGAGAAGCTGAGGCCAACACAGGTCACTGGATGTTAGCGGGGACTCAGGTCCTGGGTGCTGGCGCTGAGGGTCCGAGGGGCCTTGTCCAGGTGCCAGCTGGGGAACTGGAGACAGGCACAAGGGACGGTTGGAGGGGAGGTGAGGGGCAGGTGCTGCATCCAGCCTGGCAGCCAACCGTCTACCCATCTCACCTCTACCCCAAGTAAAACCCATCTTTGCTCCTGTCCTGGCTCTCTTTTAACACACCCACCACCTGCTGACTCTGACGCCAGCCTGACCGCCCTGCTTTTGCCTTATCTCTGCACCTACCCACGTGGCCCCACTCCATTTTTGACCCCGGTGTCCCCTCACCTGAGTCCCAGGAGCCCTTGGGCCATCCACATTCAGTGTGTTGAGCGACATGGCTCTCTTCATTCTGCGAAGGGGGCAGCAGGGAAGAAGCGAGTGAATCCAGGAGTGGCCCCCTCCAGGAGGGAGCTTTCCAGCACAGGATTTGATCTGTGTGTATCACAGGGGAGATGGGAGCCATGGAAGGTTCTTGAGCAGGAGGGGTGGGGGGTGGGCTATGAATTCTGCTGATGTCAGGGCTCTTTGCCGACCTGATCCACACTCACCCGGCCGCCCCCGCCGCCCCCTCGCCTCGGAGGCGGGAGACCAGCTTCTCACTTCCTCGCCGGATAGACTCGCGGATCTTAGAGAGGGAGCTGCTGCGGCGAAGGGCCTGGGGAGGGGCAGGGATGCTGCTCATATCCCCGAGCCCATGCAGTCCCCACGCCTTCCCCAGGAGCCGAAGCACAGCCCATCCTCACCTGTTTTGTGTCACCAGCTGTGCCTGTGTTGGGGGCACCTAGGGGAAAGATGGGGGACACTGAGATGGGGACGTAGAGAAGCCACCAGGAGGGAAGGCAGGGGCTCGGGGCTCACCGAGAGGGGCAGGTAGATCCTCCTTGTGGAGGATTTCTTTGTACAGCTCTTCTGCTTGTTGGTACTTGTTCTGTTTCAGGTAGGCTGAGGCCTGCGGAGAAGGGAGTGTCTTGGGTGATCTTGGCTCTAGTCTGGGAACTTTTCGGACCCCAGTTCCCAACACTGCATCCAGTCCCACTTTTTTTTTTTTGTAGAGACAGGGTCTTGGTATGTTGCCCAGGCTGGTCGTGAACTCCTGGCCTCAACTGATCCTCCTGCCTTGGCCTCCCAAAGTGCTGGGGTTACAGGCGTGAGCCACCACGCCTGGCCCCAGTCCCACTTTCTACTGTGCTGACCTGGCTGTATCCCACCCCTGCCTAAAGCCTTGCCCTGGGGCAGAGTGGGTTTGGAGCTCCGCCCTGCCTCCTGCCTGGGGGATGGAGGACAGAAAACCTCCTGTTTCTGAGCCTGTCTGCTCTACGGTGGGCTGGTGGCATGGCCTCTCTTCTCACATGCAAAGTAGAGCGATAGCTTCTACCTCATAGGGACACTGTAAGAACTAGTGATGTGGGGACCGAGCTAAGAGGGGAGCCGGCCACAGTGAGCTCAATAAATGCTGCTGCCATCTGTGCCTGCCAGCTTCCCCTTCACTGACTGTCCTGGGTGCCGTGGACTCACGCATTTCCTGATTCCGTGTTCTGTGCTGAGCCAGCTCCTGTGTCTGATGGGACACTTGCTCCAAGGGCCCTGCCTCAGGGGGACCCCTCCCCATGGTGCTCACCCTGTACCCAACCAATGGGTGCCTCCCCAGGGCAGACCCTCCACTCCGGGCCCACTCAGCCCCAGGGGCCTCACCAGGTTGTTCTTGGTCTTGGCCACGTTGGGATCATGGGGCCCGCCCAGTGCCTCATAGATGCTCAGGGCCCGGGCGTAGTGCCGCTCCACGTCCTCAAACTTGCCCTGGTTCTGGCACAGCAGGGCCAGGTTGTTGAGCTGCTTGGCCACATCGGGGTGGTCAGCACCCAGGACCTGGGGGCCAGGGGGCACAAGTCAGAGGGGTCATACAGGATTGGTGGGACACGTGACATCACGTCTGTATGGTGGTCACAAGTTAGGGATTACAGGGCCAAAGCAGAGTGACCTGAGAGGTTGGGGGCTGGGGCACAAGTAACACCATCGAGCAGGATTACTGAGGTCAGAGGCCAAGGTGATCCAGAAACTCGCGGGGCACAAGGTGAGATGGGTAGGTCAGGGCTGGGCTTGTGCCAGTGGCCATGAGGGGTTGGAAAGGCTGTGGCGGGACCTAGTTGGGGGGTGGCGTGTGAGGTAAGGCGAGAGGTCAGAGTCAGGGTCAAGACCACACTGGGATCTCAGAAGGTCGAGGGTGATGGGTTGGGCTCCAGTTGGGGTCTCCCAGTACCAAACGCAAGGGGCCCGAGGATCAGGGTCACGATGTAAGTGCTCAGGATCCACGGAGAGGGCTACAAGGGGTTCCTCGGGGCTGGGTAAGGGAAATGGGACCTTCTCTCGGATCTCCAAAGCGCGCTGGCACAGGGGCTCTGCCTCCCGGTAACGCCCGCGCTTCCCATAGAGGACGGCCAAGTTGTTGAGCGTGGCAGCCACCTGTGGGGTTGGGGGAGACACAGGTCAGGGGTGGGCAGGCACGGCCCCACTTCGTCTCCCTGGGGCCCCACTCACCGCAGGGTGCTCAGGGCCCAGCGTCTGCTCCCGGATCTGCAGGGCATCATGGAGGAGGTCTGTGGCTTCTTTGTACTTGTTCTGGTCCCTGTGTGGAAGCCCAGGGATGGCGGGGGTTGGCCAGGGGTTGGGGCAGCTGCAGCCACAGGGGCTGGGCTGATTCTGGCAGGTCCAGGGAACCTGGCTGAACCAAGCATGGGTAGCACCCTTTGGGGGCCTCTTATGGGCCCTTCCATACCTTCCAATTCTCTAACACCAGGCCCTGTATCCCCAGACCTCTGCCAAGCCTCTAACCACCCCAGTTCTCTTGCCTGCTCTGTTGGGGTCCCTGGTGTCTGTGCTCTGACTCCTCTCTGCCTGGCTCAGTGCCCTGCCAACCCGCCAGATCCCTGGCCCACTCCCTCTTTGCCGTTCTTACAGCAGGAGCCTTCCCTTCCTTTCCCATTCTGGCTGTCTCCTCCTCCGACCTCCCCAGGTGCTCCATGGTGGCAGAGGGGGCACCAGGGTCCCTCCACTTGCACCCAATGGGTCCCTGCCGTTCCTGCCCCCTGCCATGGCCGGCCGCAGCTCTCACCGGTACACCAGCGCCAGGATGTTGAGCATGGTGGCCACGTCAGGGTGGCAGTGGCCCGAGCTGCGCTCCAGGTCCTCCAAGGCCTGGCGGCACAGGGGCACCGCCACCTCATACCGGCCCTGCCCCGCGTACTGGATCACGAGGTTATGCAGGGTCCGAAGGCGGGCAGGGATCTCATAGCCACCCTGCTGAGCTGCTGCTGCTCCTGCGGCCTCAGGACCTGGGTGGGGCAGGGTGGGCTCTGGGTCACTGCAAGCCTCCTAAGCCTCCTGCCCCTCCATCCTCGCACGAGGAGACACACGCCCCAGACCGCCTAACTGGCCCCTGGGACTATGGGCCCCCATGTTAACTTCTGAGATTGGAGTCACTAGCATCTAACCAGCTGGTGGGATGCATCCTGGCCTCGGGACAGGTACATGGCGGCCCACCTGCCCTGCAAGATGTGAATATGGGGCCTGCCGGGCTCATGGCAGCTACCCTGTCTTCGCAGTTCCCAGCCTCACCTGCTCACTGTCACATTCAGGGTCCTCCTGACCCTGCCCTCACCTCCCCATCCCTGTTCAGAGACTTTGGGGTCCTGCAGCTCAGAGCCCGCTCCCCACCCTGGCCCGCCGTCATCTGTGGCATGTACTCCCGACACCCACCTTTCCTCTCCTCCTCCTCGCTGGGGAACAAGGAGGCCAGGCTGTCTCGGCGAGGCGGGGACTCAGACTGCTGCAGGGACAGGAAAGTGGGGGGCCGGGGGAGTGGGGGCTTGTTTCAGAGACTGGAGCCCTGCATCTATCTCGGGGTTTGAGGGAGGTGGTGATCATGAGCGTCAGGGGCCCCCTGGGGGACTGGTGAGGCCCGGGGGCTTCGGGGAGCAGCTAGTGGGGGCGTCTGCGGAAGTTCTGGTGGGTCTGGGGGCTCTGTGGAGGGTTGGGGGACTGGGATTCTAAGGAGGGACTATGGGATTCTAAGGAGGGTCTGGGGAACTGTGGGGCTCTGTGAAGGGCCCAGCACCCCCACCTTGCCCTGCCCGTGGCACCTGGGTCTCCGTGGGCGGGTCGTACTGTCGCAGCTGCCCCAGGAACTCCAGGTGGCGCTTTTCCTCCTCCAACTGGGCCACGGCCTCCTCGCTGGCCCGAAGCCGCCGCTGTGTCTCCTCCAGTTCCTCCCGCAGCCACACGTTCTCCTGGGCCAGCCGCCGGGCCTGCGAGCGCAGCCGCTGCTTCTCTGCCTCCAGTGCACCCACGTGTGCCGACAAGGCCAGCAGCACCTGCCCAGGGTGGGGGTCCCAAGTCGAGGTTGGTTCCTACCCTGCCAGACAGCCTCTGACCCAGCCCAGACCTCGAATCAGGCCGCTGCACCCCACTACTATGCATGACACCCCCAGATTCTGCAGAGACTCCACCAGCGTGGCTCCAGTGCCCTCAGAGGCTCTAAGCAGCCCCTCTAATTTCACCCCCGAAGTTGCCCTAGGACCCACAGTTTACTGAAGAATGCCATCTGGTTCAGGGGTCCCTGTCACATACAAGGACCCCCTAGAACTGCCAAGGGACTCCATCTCTGGCCTGGAGCCTCACCTTCCCAGGCCTCGTTCCCCTAGGCTTCCGCCTGCCCCAGATGTGCCTTTCTGCCATACTTTTTTTTTGCTGTTTTTTAAAACAGTCTCTGTCACCCAGACTGGAGTGGAATGGCACGATCTCCACTCACTGCAACCTCCACCTCCCAGTTTCAAGTGATTCTCATGCCTCAGCCTCCCGAGTAGCTGGGATTACAGGAGCCCTCATGCCCAGCTCATTTTTGTATTTTTAGTAGAGATGGGGTTTTGCCATGTTGGTCAGGCTGGTCTTGAACTCCTGACTTCAAGTGATCTGCCCACCTCAGCCTCCCAAAGTGTGCCCCTCAGCAATAGTGAACCCCTCTCCCCGTCCCCTGCATACCTGTCCCCCTCATATCTGGCCCTCCCTCCGCCCTCAGTTTATCCTCTCCCAGTTCCCCACCTGGCCCCCTCATACCTGGGCCTCGCCCAGCCCCAGCTCGATGGCCTCCAGCGAGTGGCTCACCACCTGCTGCTTTTCCTCCAGCATCTCCAAGCCAGTCGCTGGGCCCTGTCCCGCCAGGGCCTCTGCCAGGTGCCCAGCCAGGCCACGGTGCTCTGCCCGCAGCGCCTCCAGCCCCTGGACCACTTGCCGCGTCTGCCGTACCAGCTCCTCAGGGTTCAGGCGCTCTAGGCCCAGCCCTGCACTTCCGGGAGCCGCCACCTGCACAGACATTGCTGCTCCTGGGGTGCAATGGTGAGGGGTTTGGGAAATCATTGCCCAGGCCAGTCAGTTGGCCCCCACCCTCTATTCCCATAATGGCCATCAGGACCCCTAACTTCTCCCCACCTTGGCTCTTCCCTGCTCCACCCATCCTGGCCAGCCCTCTGCCTCCACACCGTCTCCATCCCAGTCTCCACACCCATCCCAGCCAGCTCTCATCTGGAACAGTCTAGTCTACCTTCGTCTGTCCTCCCAACCCAGGGTTCTGCCCAGAGGACAGTTCCCAAATCCTATGTGTAATTAACCAAGAGAGGGCAAACAGCTAGCCTGGGGTCCCCCATTTGCTCTCAGCTCACCTGGCCAGCCTTCCCCACCCCAAGGCCCCTGGATCCCCTGGCCCAGAGCTCCCGACCTGGGACCAGAGGCACCCTCCTCTGCCAGACGAGTGGGGCGGGGCGTGTGGAGGCGGCAGCCTCTGCGTGAGCTCATTCTTAGGGTGTTTTTGTTGGGAACCAGTCAGACCACTGGGGGTGGGTGGGGTGGGTGGGGTGGGAGGAGAGGGCTGAGGGGCCAGGGCCAGGGCCTGCGGAAGCCCAGGAGGCCTCTAGGCTGGGGGGAGTGAGGACGGGGCCATGTGTCGGCTCCCAGGCAGCAGATGGACCCTGGGGGAACAGGGGCTCTGCCCTCCTCCAACAGACAGGCTCAGCCAGCCCAGGGCCTGTCGGGACACACGTGTGATAGGTGTGGTCCAGGGATGTCACACTGGCCATGTGACAGCTGAGAGTCTGAAGCCCAGCTCATAGTAGGCAGGGGCCCCCCCTCTATGGGACTTCATGTGGTTGTATGTGGGTGACAAAGTCACAGAAACTTAGCTGGTGGTGACCCTGGGGTCCTCACAGACACACAAACACACTCCTCAGAAACACACCTCACACACCCGCACCCTCCCTTCTTAAAGACACAATGCAACATACACATTTTCCTCTCCAAAATACAATTTGACACACACACGCACTCTCCCTTCTCTCCAATACAACATGGGGCCAGGTGTAGCGGCTCATGCCTGTAATCCCAGCACTTTGGGAGGCCGAGGCGGGCAGAT